AAGAAAAAGGTAAATTTTCATTTTTGCTTATGATGTGTATTAAAATTCTAGGGTTGAATCTACTTAATTCTTCTACTGAGGGTTTGATGTTGGAATATGTTCAACTTCCTAAGAAAAATCCTCTAAAAATTGTTGCCAAGATATTATAATTTGACTCCATCATTTAAAAAGCTGGTCTCAAATAAAATAAAATAAAATTAGATTAAATTAAATTAAAAAAAAAAGCTGGTCTCCTGATTTCTACCATGAAGTGGAAGGAAAATTAGATCTAAAATTGGATGCTTTAGTAACTACTGAATTTAAAGTCCCAGTTAATTTAATCTAAAAGATTAGTATTTGTTTTTGTTCAACCCAACAGAGTATGTTAAGTACAGCTCAACATTTTGGGCAATCTAAATCTGTTAACTCTATGCAGACAAATTTTCCTTCTGTTAAGCCACTACTAGTTACTGGTATGAATTTATCACCTGGAAAAGCCAAGTTGATATTTGCACACATACAAACCTCTAGTTAACTTAGGTCCAAATTGTCCACTGAAAACATCAGTACATTTCTCTTAAGTTGGAGAAAATGGCTGTATTTTAGTTCAAAATTCTGTTAGTTGTCAATGGAAAAGAGTCAAACCCGAATCTATATTCCTAATAGAATGCCTTACTAACTTTTTCAGTGAGTAAATACTATTAGAACAATTAATACACTTACATAGACTTGAAAAGTAGAGGCTCTCTGATTATTTATTACTGTTTTAAGAATCTCTGAATGAATTACATATACACTTAATCATATATGAAGGACATCCATTAGAACATCTTAAACCCACTGCTTTTGTTTCTTTGACCTCATCTGTCAGAAAACTCCGATGGTTATCTGGTTTCAAGTGTATCCGCGCCAGTGAAGTGGCAAAAATCCTTTCAGAACAAATATATTGCTTCCTTTTCCAAGTTCTGCTACTTGTATGTTCAAGAGTCATCCCTTTAGACAAGACAGACAAATTTGTATTATCTGGTTCTTTCTGTTAAGGTGAATTTTAGTATTTTCTATCTAAGGCAAGATATGGTCTTACCAGTACTGAGAATGGCCTTAGGCCTTCACATCAGAAAACAGCCCCTAAGACTGTACTTTATCTTTGCTTCCTGTCCCATCTTGTTTCTGTACAGACAAAGTCTGCTGCTAAAGGCAATAGCCATCATCAAAAGACTACTCTTTGAGATATCTTTTACCAGGGCCGAAAAACTATACAAAGGCAAAATAGAGTTTTCCCTGTGCATTTATCCAAACAGCATTTCCTATGAACCAATTTGTTACATTTTTCTTCCTACTGGATTATTTCTTTACCTATTTCCACTACAAAATAATGGTTTTATTAAACTGTTCTAAGTGAATTTGTCACCCAAAGGAGTCATTCCTTCAAAAGGAGAGGTCGTGTGTGAGGACAATCTTTTAAGATTAATGTAAACTTTTTTTTTTTCCCTGTGCAGTTATACTATTAGAGAACACTTAATCTCCTGAAAGACACCTAAGATTACTTTGGTACTCAGAAGAGAAAATCACCAGAAGGAGCTCTGATGACCACAACCCGGATTTAGTTACAGAAAGAGGCTGATGACATTTAGAGAACCACAAGCTGATTGGTATGCATATTCTTTAACAGGACACTCATATATATAAGGCAATCAGTCATATTGTAAAATATCATATTTTAATAAAGTCAGTGCTTCGTATAATAACAATAATACGACTAATAGATAAAATAAGTGGGTACACTGTATGTTGGCACTACATTAAATGTTCTACCTACAAAATTTTCTTTAATTATAATATCAGTCTTATGAGGTAGGTGTATTATCTATCTTTCCATTTTATAAATGAGGAAAGTGGGGAGGCGTTAAGTAAACAAATAATGATAATAATAATAATCATAACAAACTCTTACCCAATATTTATTATTTATCAGGTCTTAGTTTTAAGAGTACAATTGTATTAAATTGTTTAACCCACCATAATTAGTCCCAATTTTTAGATGAGGAAATAGAAGCATGGAGAGGTTAAGTAATTGCTCAAAATCTCAGCTAGTAAGAGGTGGAGCTGGGACTGCACTGCTGGTTTCAAGTTCCCAAGCCATCCTCCTACTGCGGTATTGAATACCTCTGCCTCTCAGACAGTTGATTCCCGGTGATTAATGACTGCTTAGTGGCAGCGATGGGCCTTGATTTCAAAGTCTATGCTCTTAATTGCAGTATTTTATTCTATTATCTCTCATTTACTAAGCACACAGTCACTGTGCTTAGTGCCATGCCCTCTTGCTTTCATTGCATATGCATATAAGAGTGAGTGTACAGAGATCATCTTTGCCCTTAAAATTTTTACTTTTTGGGAGTGAAACAGTTTACTTTTTAGTTAAGGGACCTACTAACCCAACTAAATACCAGAATAATTTCTCCCAGGATCTTTCTGGAGTCATTAGGGATCTCTCCTAATGGCTTCTGTAACTTTGACTATGGAATGAGCCAAGAGTCTCTCAGTCAATACAGCCCTTGAGTTTCTTAAAGGACTGTTATAATCAGCAAGAGGTAAGCTACTGCTGAAAGTTCTCCCCCCTCACTAAGACACAAATGCCTGAACTGATGGCTGGACGGCGAAGAGAACAAACCACTCTGTGGAGGTATGCCAGCTTTGAAGGACTTAGCTCCTTGCTTTCTTAGGTGAGAAAGTTACGGCGTGACATGAAGGAATGAATGCTAATGAGTCCAACCTGCAATTCAATTATTTTAGGATCCTCAAATAGTCTTTATAAACCAGATGTAGTGTAGTGAAGGAGATATTATTCCTTTCTGGAGACACAAAACAAAATTGAGAGAAAAGTAGAGAGGAAAATAGATTTTTTAAGAAAACATGATCCTAAAAGTTTTGCTAAATTTATGACTAATAAGACCTTAAGTGTTACATGAAATGAGGCTAAACTAGGAGTCTGCTGCCCAAGTTCAAGCCCTCACTTAAATCTTAGATTTGGTCTTACAGATAAAATATTGCTATATGTAGTAGACTTGGCTTTTATTAAAGGAAGTGGCATATTCTCACAGTCTCTCTCTGGTTAACAGCAACCTCTTCCTTTTCTGAGCTCTTACAGTTGATACAGCTCATCTGGACTGCCATATTTTATGATGTCATGGATTACCATTTATTATTATAAATGGGGCTCTATATTATATTATTATGTCACTTTATTTAGCACCATTGTAAGCTCTTTAAGGGTGAGGTCTATGAATTCCAACCCTTCACAGTCCCTGTTCCAAACTTTTCACAGTGCCTATTCCTTGCCAAATGTGGGAGTTTTGTAATTGTTAACGGATTGAGATTAGGTTGCCAGTAGAAAGCTATTCTTTTAAAATTAATGCTTACCAAACATATCAGTGGAATTCAAGCTTAATATTTACTGATTGATAATAATGACTGCATTAAACTAGAGACATAACTTCATGCAAATAGCTGCAGCTAATTATAGCATGTAAATATGATGATGGATACAATTACTAAAACGATTGACAGCTTACACAAGCTTATCACTTGCAAGATCATATGTAGTCCTTTTGCTTAAAGATGGCTTTTTTGGCATATTCAACAAATGATGTATTTGCACTAGTAATCATGTGGGGAAGAACTAGTATTTTTTGGATGACTTCTCATAAAAATAGAGGGTATAAATTCACCCTTTTAGACTCAAATGACCAAAAAGAATTGTAATTTCACTACTGTTTTTCCTGGGAGGTTTTGTTTCTCATCTTAGTTTGAACTGGGCAAAGACATTTTAAATCTAACTCTTGGAGTTAGGAGGCTGTGGATCAGTGTAATATGAAGATTGCAGTTATATACTAGGACAGTGGAAAGAGCACTATACATAGTCTGGATATCTGATTAGAAGTCCTGGCAGATTTCTATGTGACCTTGAGTAAATAATATCTGTATTACAGTCCCCTAACAATAGCATACTCTGATTCCCAAAAACAAAAGTTTTAGATTCTTACTCCCACCTTTGGTCCCAAGTCTGCTATTCTTCTTTCATTCTAGGACTTTATCTTGCTATCTAAGAGTTCCTCTCTTTGGAACAAAAACTTCAAGTTCATAAAGAAAACAATCTAAGGTAGAAATAGGCTTTTGTGTTGTAAAGAGCTCTATAGTCTCAGGAGATATCTAGTTGACTGTGTAATAAATGGTCTTGGCAGCTTGGATGTCAGACAGTTAACTAGGTCAAAGTGGGTGATTTGGATTGATGCTATTTACCTGTTTTCCTATTGTACAACTTGATTTGCTTTGGATAAATTATTCCTAATAAACAAACTCAAGTCAGAAATTGGGTGCCTTGGGTGCCTGGGTGGCTCAGTGGGTTAGCCCTCTGCCTTCGGCTCAGGTCATGATCTCAGGGTTCTGGGATCGAGTCCCGCATCAGGCTCTCTGCTTGGCAGGGAGCCTGCTTTCTCCTCTCTCTCTCTGCCTGCATATCTACCTACTTGTGATCTCTCTCTGTCAAATAAATAAATAAAATCTTTAAAAAAAAAAAAAAGAAATTGGGTGCTTTCTCCCACCTCTACTGCTTAACACTGTGTTATAATGGGCAAGTGATGTGTCAGCCTTGAACTTTAGTTCTCCATGTGTAAAGTAAGGATCATAATACCCATCTAACAGAATCTTCATAAATGTTAAATGAGCATTATCTAAAATATTTATACCTTACCAAATATTTTCAAATTCAAGGGACGGTAATAATGACACTTCGCAGAGAATGAACTAAAGATTTGAGGGAGATGCAGTAATTCCTTTAGATGTTAAATAAATGTACAGTGTTCTAAGTAAAATACCAACAGTTTTGAAGTTAAGGTAGCTTTAAAACTGTGTGGGCTTACTCTTAAACTTGAACCTTCAACCAAGATTTGCCTTAACAAAAAGGAATCATTCATCTGAATATAGACTATTTATTTTGTAAAAAAAAAAATATATAGGATCCCCCATCCCCCGCCATGGCCGAGGAACTCTCCGCGGCCACGTCCTACACCGAAGATGATTTCTACTGCCCTGTCTGTCAGGAGGTGCTCAAAACGCCTGTGAGGACCGCGGCCTGTCAGCACGTTTTCTGTAGAAAATATTTCCTGACTGCAATGAGAGAAAGCGGAATACATTGTCCCCTCTGTCGTGGAAATGTGACTAGAAGAGAGAGAGCATGTCCTGAACGGGCCTTAGACCTTGAAAATATCATGAGGAAGTTTTCTGGTAGCTGCAGATGCTGTGCAAAACAGATTAAGTTCTATCGCATGAGACATCATTACAAATCTTGTAAGAAGTATCAAGATGAATATGGTGTTTCTTCTATCATTCCAAACTTTCAGATCTCTCAAGATTCAGTAGGGAACAGTAATAGGAGTGAAACATCTACATCTGATAACACAGAAACTTATCAAGTTTATACAAGTTCTTCTGGGCATCCTACCTTTAAGTGTCCCTTGTGTCAAGAATCAAATTTTACCAGACAGCGTTTACTGGATCATTGTAACAGTAATCACCTATTTCAGATTGTTCCTGTGACTTGTCCTATTTGTGTGTCTCTTCCTTGGGGAGATCCTAGCCAGATTACTAGAAATTTCGTTAGCCATCTAAATCAAAGACATCAGTTTGATTATGGAGAATTTGTGAATCTTCAGCTAGATGAGGAAACCCAGTATCAAACTGCTGTTGAAGAATCTTTTCAAGTAAACATCTGAAGGCTATAGACATCTCGCATCTTTGTACCTGCAAGTGCCATCTTTAAGGGGAAAACTACATGAAGTCACCGTTTCAGTAACTTGACGTGTATATTAATAAAAGTAATTCAGTCAAAAAAAAATTTATATACTATTATAACTGTTATCACTATCATGATAATGATAATAGTAATTTTGATAATATTGATATCATATTTCCAGAATGATCAACCTCCAATTTCTTTTAAACTGATGAAATAATTTTTTTTTCTAAGAGTGCAGCTTATTGCACGTGAGGAATATTTTTTCCTATATCTTTTCTTGGAGATGTTGTGGAGTGGGGTGGAGCAGTTCCTTTTTCCACACAAAGGACATTAAGAGTAACTTAGGACAAATACATACTTACTGGGATGGAAGAAGAAATACAGGTATATATGGGAAGAGAGTTCTCTTTTTTGTTTGAACTGAAACTGTTTTCCCTTCAAAAGGAGAATCTAGCCCATGGCTTTGAACAGGAGCTTAGCTCAGAATCTGAAGTGTTGTACTAGATGTTTCAACACCTGCTCAGAAATCCCATTATTTCAAGAATTAAAGTTGAGCCACAGAAGTCCAGGACTGGTAATTTCTTAGCCAGCTTGTGAAAATCCCAATGCTTCTGAACTATGTACAGCCAGAGAACATGAGTGCATTGCTTGCCTGGAAACTTTAGCAATCACATCATCATAATATAGGGATTTGGCAGCCTGTCTTCATAAGTCACCTTCACAGCTGAAATGCGTGAGTTCATTTTCAAGTCCTTTGAGAAGTAAAGCATTCAAAAATAACTAGGGATATTGAAGGCATTCATTAAAGAACTAATTCTTCCCAACTTTGTTTTGGAGATTAGCTGGGGAAGTAGCTGCTTGTATGTGGCTACTCTGGGGTTTGTGGATATGAAGATGAAAATTACCCAGAGCAGGCCCAGGCCAGGAGGTCCCAGAAAATGGAAAGTTACTAACAGTAACCTAGGAAGCCCTACTGGGAACAAGAGATAGCCAGCCATTTCTGCTTCTGTAAACAGGCTTCTGGCCACAGGCTCCCTGCACTACTGTTCTCACCTAAAGCAGTCCCTAGCCCCCAGTTTAAACCCACCCACCAGGAATCAGCATAGCCCTTGGAACCTATAACCTATAACCCCATTGCCTGGGGTCCAGAGCTTCGAGCATGAGCTCATTTGTGTCCATCAGTGTAAAATAAATCCTAGTTTTCCTACTTTTCCAAGTGTCACTTGGTCTTTCATTGGTCTGATTATTTTCCGCAACATTTTGAAGCAGTAGATATACATTAACAGGAGTAAGCAATGTTGAGAAGTACACACTGGGGTCTGTGGTGTGTGTTTATGAGCTATTTAGCTCAAAAAAAAGGGGTAGAGAAAAACTTACAAGCAGCTTAAAGATATCAAAGAAAAAAATCCAGCTACTTACTGGTAAACAAACTTATCTCATTTTACTGAGGGTATCTCATTTTAAAAAATAGAATGTTCTAATCTCATCAAGTTCTTTGGAGTATTTTTCATATGAGCTAATTAAATGTTATACAAATTATAGATGGCATGATGAGGTAGGGAATTTGCCTTTATATGAAAAACTCTAAGTGTGTGATTGCTTATCTAGAGTGAACAAGGGGCGGAAGAGTCAGAATTTAAAGAGACACATCCTAGATAATAACTGGCCAGGTAGGTAGACGGCGAATCTTATCTTTGCATTTTGTTTGTTTTAATGGGAAAATGATTCTGTCTCACCTAGGAACTTAATACACTGAATTCTAGTTTTCAGGTAGGTAACATATATCAGGACCACCTATGAAACAAAAATAAATGGAGGTGGAGTTTCTATCCCCCAAAACTCTGACTTAAACATTCGAGAAGGTCCTAGAGTTGTGCCCTGTTAAACCAACTCTTCATTTCACAGACGTATCCATGCAAACATACATTTCTTCTGAATGAATCTTGCCTAAACATTAACTTTTGCTATCCATATTCTTTCAAAATAACCAGTTTTCCCTCCCCTAGTTTCTCTATTAGACAATGAGAAAATTAATTGAGATTAACACATATTCTGAACTGAAGTTCTGTGTACAACAAGCTTCTCTGTTAATCTATTTGCAAATAATTCCAATTAATAAATATTGTTTGAATGTCAGCTAGGGGCCAGACACTGGGCTAGGTTCAAGAATCTGAAGATGAGTAACACCCAGTTCCTGACCTCAAGCTGCTCACAGTTTAACTACAGAGACAGAGACCCAGTGTATAATCAGTGAGAATCAATGCCTTTCTCCTTGGGCTACGTCATACTTTATACTGATCCTATAATCTCACTGCATTTTTCTTGTGTCTCTGTGTGCACATACATCATTCCAAGTGGGTTAAAAGTCTGCTGAGGGTAGAGAAACACCTATAGCCCTATAGGTCTGTTCGTATCTAACATATAACAGGAATAAATAAATAAATAAAAATTGATTAAGGGTAAGGAGTAGGTGGTTGGGTTATGGACATTGGGGAGGGTATATGCTATGGTGAGTGTTGTGAAATGTGTAAGCCTGATGATTCACAGACCTGTACCCCTGGGGTAATTAATACATTATATGTTAATAAAAATAATTAATTAAAAAAAACAGAAAATGGAGTATTGCAGATTTGCTTGTTGACAATCGTTAGTCAAGTTGTCTTAATCTTGAATAATGGTGTAGAATCCACCTGTTTCCAAAGTAGAAAATTCAAGGTTATTTGCTTGTTCTCCACAGTCTTTACATCCATATCCAAAAAGATATGTACCAAAGAGCACAGAATCTGAGTGATTATATTATATTTTTATTTTCATTGATTTGCTTGGAAAAAAGTGATCATTCCAGGACTTCTGAAAAGGACATGGCATTGAATTTCAGACAGTTTTCCCCCACTCTGCCTTCTGCTCTTTCACCAAAGCTATCTTCTAGAGAGCAGATTTGATCTCTTTTTCCTGCCCTTAAAAACCTCTTTTGATAATTGACTCTCTCTGCTTGACTTATTTCACTCAGCATAATCTCTTCCAGTCCCGTCCATGTTGATACAAAAATTGGGTATTCATCTTTTCTGATGGAGGCATAATACTCCATAGTGTATATGGACCACATCTTCTTTATCCATTCGTCCATTGAAGGGCATCTTGGTTCTTCCCACAGTTTGGCGACCATGGCCATTGCTGCTATAAACATTTGGGTACAGATGGCCCTTATTTTCACTACATCTGTATCTTTGGGATAAATACCCAGTAGTGCAATTGCAGGGTCATAGGGAAGCTCTATTTTTAATTTCTTGAGGAATCTCCACACTGTTTTCCAAAGTGGCTGCACCAACTTGCATTCCCACCAACAGTGTAAGAGAGTTCCCCTTTCTCCACATCCTCTCCAACACATGTTGTTTCCTGTCTTGCTAATTTTGTTCATTCTGACTGGTGTAAGGTGGTATCTCAATGTGGTTTTAATTTGAATCTCCCTTATGGCTAGTGATGATGAACATTTTTTCATGTGTCTGGTAGCCATTTGTATGTCTTCATTGGAGAAGTGTCTGTTCATATATTCTGCCCATTTTTTGATATGATTGTCTGTTTTGTGTGTGTTGAGTTTGAGGAGTTCTTTATAGATCCTGGATATCAACCTTTTGTCTGTACTGTCATTTGCAAATATCTTCTTCCATTCCGTGGGTTGCCTCTTTGTTTTGTTAACTGTTTCCTTTGCTGTGCAGAAGCTTTTGATCATGATGAAGTCCCAAAAGTTCATTTTCACTTTTGTTTCCTTTGCCTTTGGAGACATATCTTGAAAGAAGTTGCTGTGGCTGATATCGAAGAGGTTACTGCCTATGTTCTCCTCTAGGATTCTGATGGATTCCTGTCTCATGTTGAGGTCTTTTATCCATTTTGAGTTTATCTTTGTGTATGGTGTAAGAGAATGGTTGAGTTTCATTCTTCTACATATAGCTGTCCAGTTTTCCCAGCACCATTTATTGAAGAAACTTTTTTCCACTGTATATTTTTTCCTGTTTTGTCGAAGATTATTTGCCCATAGAGTTGAGGGTCCATATCTGGACTCTCTACTCTGTTCCACTGGTCTATGTGTCTGTTTTTATGCCAGTACCATGCTGTCTTGGTGATCACAGCTTTGTAGTAAAGCTTGAAATCAGGTAATGTGATGCCCCCAGTTTTATTTTTGTTTTTCAACATTTCCTTAGCGATTCGGGGTCTCTTCTGATTCCATACAAATTTTAGGATTATTTGCTCCAGCTCTTTGAAAAATACCAGTGGAATTTTGATCGGAATGGCATTAAAAGTATAGATTGCTCTAGGCAGTATAGACATTTTAACAATGTTTATTCTTCCGATCCAAGAGCATGGAATGGTCTTCCATCTTTTTGTGTCTTCTTCCATTTCTTTCATGAGTGTTCTATAGTTCCTCGAGTACAGTTCCTTTACCTCTTTAGTTAGGTTTATTCCCAGGTATCTTATGGTTCCTGGTGCTATAGTAAATGGAATCGATTCTCTAATTTCCCTTTCTGTATTTTCATTGTTAGTGTATAAGAAAGCCACTGATTTCTGAACATTGACTTTGGAGAGGAGAAGGGAGTTGAGGGATATTGGAAGGGGAGGTGAACCATGAGAGACTATGGACTCTGAAAAACAATCTGAAGGTTTTGAAGGGGCTGGGGGTGGGAGGTTGGAGGAGCCAGGTGGTGGGCATTAGAGAGGGCCCGGATTGCATGGAGCACTGAGTGTGGTGCAAAAACAATGAATACTGTTACACTGAAAAGAAATAAAAAATTAAAAAAAAAAAAAAACAACAAAACAAAAAAACCCTCTTTTGACACCCCAATGCTTACAAAAGAAAATTCAAACACATCAGCGGATGAACGTCTTCCTTCTTTTTGTCTCAACTTCTGTCTTCAGGCCCATTTGCAAACACTCTCCCCACCATACCTCAAATATATCAGCCATCTCTTCAGACTGCCTCTTGCCACATGCAATAATTTCTTCTGAGGGGATCTTTCCTCCTTGATATGCCAGATAAAATCCCAATCAAGTTATAATTCAATCCTCAGTACGATATTTATGAAGCTTCCC